CTTGTAAATATTTTAACTAATGTTGGTCTGTCTCTCAGCACATGCATGGTGTGAGCCCCAGTAGACTCTGATCACTCCTCCCAGGCTGGGAGCACCCCCTTTTTCAACACAAATACTCAGTTCTAAGGAACCTTTCCCACAGCAACAAGCTGCAGAAACCAGGAGGGCAGCACCCAAAAAGACCCTGTCTGGCATCACCCACTGCCACACACAGCCACCACCTCAGCAAGGAAACCCCTGCTCGATCCCCAAAATGAGCAGGCTTTTGCACCCCATGAAAAAGCAGTTTAAATGTCATTGTAGCAGAGGCATCTCCTGTTCCCTGCTCAGGGAAGGAGCTAGGATTGATGGTACCCTCCTAAAATAACAAACCTGGGAGAAAAAGGGGTGAGGAGAGGAATGCCATCTCAGCACAGAGACTCCTAAAACATGAAATGTTTACTGGGACATTTGGAGACGTTAAAAGCAGAATAGGATGAAATCTGCAACTTGTGGCGTTCAGAGCACCTTCCAAAAGCATGGTGGGAGGCAGAAAACACGGGGGTCCCACCCCGTGCCCACACAGGGCACGGCCAGTGCACAAACACAGTGGCCCCTTCTCTCTGGAAAGGTGGCTGCTGGAGACCTCACCTTTGTAACATATATAAAGGGGCTACCAACAAACAGCTTTTCCACCTGGGAAGAGACCATGCTCGGCCAGCCCAGAGGCAATACTCAAGCCTGCCATTTGATGAGAGCACTCAAAAAAGCCCTGCCAAGAGGATAAATCAGTGGCAAAGCAAGCCAGAACGTTACTAAAGAGTTGCAGATCTGGGTAAATCAAGGGGGACACTGTGCTGACCTTTCACAAAGCACCTGCGTGCTGTGTGAATCTCTGCAAACCCAAGAAAGAGTCCTGCCCAGGCAGCAAATGGGCAGGGTGCAGGAAAACTCAGGGCTTCCCTCTCCCCCTTAGAAATAGCCAAGAGAGAGCAGAGAGAAAAAACTAACTGCAGGTTATGCAGCAGGAGCAGCCAGGCAGGGGAGCTGTTTTACACACACAAACTTTCAGAGCCATCTTTATATATCTTTATTGCACACATCTATCCTTACATATCTCATGGGATGGGGCCAACTTCCCTTCCCAGGACAAACTATTTCTACTTAATTCTGCCAAATCCATCTGTTCCCAAGACAACTTTTGTTACTGCCTAACACAGATATTTTGGAAGGGTAAATCTTTCCCTCAGCCTACAAACCCTTCCCCCACAGTTGCTGGTTCACTCGGAACATTCCCTGGGTGCTTCAGCTACTAAAAGAGATATTTTCCTCCCAGAAAACCTTGTGAGATGCCCAGGGCACAGCCTACCTGCTCAGCTGAGCTGGACCACACCCCCTCTGTAAATCCCCCAAAAAGCCTGCACCTCCTCTCCCCCAGCACTTGATAAAGCTGCCCACATGGCACAGGAGCCTCTCCAGCACCCACTTTTATTTCCAGGCTTCCTGGCAACGATCTTGTTGGTTGTAAGTGGCATCTGGACTGAGTACATCAGAGCTGAGCTAATTAGTGGGTGGCTGGTTGGAGCATCAGCAAAGCACCAGCCACCCTGGGCTCTGTTTGCTTTGGGTGCCCCAGAGGACGCAGGATGACTGATCCCAGAGGGCTGCGAGCACGTTTGTGTCGTAGAGCCTGGAAGATATTTGCACTGACTCATAATTTGGGGGAAAATACTATAATTCATTCACAGGCATGATTTGCCATTGGTGTGGCATAAATACATGTGTGTGTACGTACAGAGCTCTATTTTTAGAGCTGCACGGCCAGGGTGCCGGCTCCATCGCTACTCCATTGACAAACAGGATGCACTCTTCTCTGAGCTGGGAGGTTTTCAGTCCTCCCCCTTATTGTAAACATCATCTGCCTTCAAAACCCTTAATGTGTTGCAGATGTGACAAACAATAAAAGACCTATCATAAAAAAAAGCCTGCCATCTCCGTGTTTCCCACTGGGGCAACATAATAATGAATTTATTAGCATATAGGGCTCACCAACATATGTTTATAGTCACTCACAAACTTTTGACTTGACAGTTTACAAGTATGTTTAAATCATTAAAGTTTAAGTTGACTGTCCAGTTATTACAGGCTCATTATGAATAGGAAACAAAGGTTACATTTTATACAACAGGCGATAAATCAAAACTAGTCTGTATTTGAGACTGACTCTTTTTTTTTCCTTTTGCTCTTTTTTTCATCTCCTTATTTTCAAGACCTTCTGAGGGGACATCTCAGTGAGGCCAGGACTCAGCAGATGGTTGCAGTTAGCTGGCAGGACCAGCGGCACCCACACTGGGGAGCAGGAGAAATTCTCACTGCATCCAAGAGATGCAAAGGCCTCAGAGGTGGCAAGCTTTGCTAATGTTTTCACTCAACAGACAGTCAAACTCCGTGCCAGCCCAAAGCATTCACCTCTCCTCCTCCCCAGGGCATCACCAAGTCCATCTGCAAGGCTTGGGAAACCCTTTGGAAGGCAGGAGTTCTCCACTGCCCTCATGGGGCCAAGGAAATTTCCTCCTAAGATGAACAAGGCATCTAAGAAAAGGAAAGCAAAACCCCAAACTGCATTCTCTGACAGCAAACTTCTGAGGGTCAGCAGAGGCACTCAAACATGCCCAGAGAGGGGGTTTGGGTTTGACCACTGTGCTGACACAGACTCCCCCAGCCAGCCAGCCACGTTCCTGCCTTAACACTGCAGAGCATCCAGCATGGGATAAAACCAGGGACTCAGGAACACAACCACAGCCACTCCCAGTCCTTTCTGCCTCTATTACAGGGTAACCACCTTGGGAAGGAGAGAGATAGAGCCACATTAAATGTAAAAGTTCATTTTGCAAACTATTTCCAGATTTAAAGCCTGGCATAATTTCAAATCGGCCTGCTACCCTAAAATTTAGAAATTGTGGAAAGGGGGGGGAATGTGGAATGGTTTTTGGTCCCTTTTATTTCTTGCTATGTACATGTGATATGATGGGAAAAAAAATTTAATTGAAAAATATCCTTTCAAAGTAAAAAGAAATATCATTCTCAAAAATGTTGAAAGTGAGTATTTCCACACCATCAGCAACTTTTCCTGGGCTGGTTTCCAACATAAAACTTGAACAGAGTCACAGTTTATATCCAATACCAACCAAATAGGATTCTGTCGCTGTCAGATCAGCTTCACCTTTCTGCTCTAAAGCAAAACACAAAAAAGAGGATTATGGCACGATCTCCCTGATGGCACAGCTCATGCCCTCTGAGCTCAGTCAGTGCCTTCAAGCTGTGCTGGACAAACCTCACACTCTCAGCAACCTGAAAGACTTAACCTGCCAGGAACACCATGCCCCAAAGACACTGCTGCCCAAAAGTTAATATTTACCCATCCTATAGCAAAGGCAGCAACAAACACCCTCCAGCAGAGCAGCACAGGGAAGAAGGGAGGACAAGTCCTCTTTTCCTACTACGTGTTCACACACCACAGTGACAAGAGGGGTCTAAGTTGCCAGGCGGGCAAGATGTCAGGGAGATCAATACAGTGATTAAACTAGCCTAGAGAGGCAGAAAAAGGCAGAAAGGATTATATATCCGGCTTCAGAGATCACTGATGATATTATGGAGAAGGTTTTAAGAGGAAATTAGAAACACATTAAAAAATAGCATCAAAGTGTGACAAAGATCATGCAAAATGAAACACGTATCTCTGCTCTCGACACAGGACACTGTGAATCACCTGTATTTCTTTAACCTACACTTTGATATTTAGTTCTTGGACAAAATAAAGTATATTTTATCCTTCTCTGAATTCTGTGTTTCTCTTTTAGACTTGGACTGGAGAACATAAAAATTCTTTTATTTCCCTTAGTCAATATTTGAATATATGTATTTTATGCACTTTACATAATGTGTCAATAATCTTTGATATAAGACTGGCATTTAATATTTCAGCTCTCACTTCATTAAGGATATTTTAATTATCCCAGACCAATGGAAGGGAATTTATAAACATCTGTGCTTCGTTTAGGAGTCCAAATTTGCCTCTTAAACTTCAAAGCTGTAAAGCTGATTTTATCCAGGTTCAGTTGTCTGGTCTCTCGAAGTGCCCCACATAGCACTGAAACCAGCATTAATTGGGCCAAGCCTCCAGCCTGCAGACCCATGTCCAGCACATTCATCCACCTCGGACACAGCCTCTATCAGCCTGCTTTTGCTCACACAACCAAACCAGACGATGCTGCTGAGCTCCACAGAGCCTGGAGCAGCATGACAGTGGTTAGTGGGTTGAGGTGAAGGCACAAGCCAACAGCATGTGTGACTGCCCAAGTCTCAACTGGTCCTTTCCTTTCTCCTCCCAATGTGTGACAGGGACTACTCATGAATAACGTAGCCTCAAAGCACCAGGACTGCCTCAGGGCCATTTTCAAAGCAACCAAAGACATGACTCATATTGGCAAGCAATGCAATTTCAGGCTCCTGAGCACCTAAATCACTTCTCCAAAATGAGCCTGAGTTATTTGCAAAAAATTACCAGTTTTCTAAACCCTAAATCAGAAATACCCATCATTTGCTGCAGTCAAGCAAGCCCTCCCAACTTTCTGATGCCCTCCAGAAAGCTGAAAGGCTCATCTCAGAGCTCATGACTGCAGGCAGCAAGCAGCATGAAGGAGAGAAGAGGGTGAGACTGGGACCTACACCAGGTTTGCAACTTGCCTCAAATCCTCTCCAACAGGTTGCCCGCAACACACCCCTGCAAAACCAACCTGGAAAAGCAGCAGCATTTCTTCTCCAGTTGCTGCCTTGGCTGCTACTGAGGTGAGCTGGCACAATGCTGGGCATCATCAGCCTCTGAGCCACAGCCGTGGAGGGCACTGGGGGTGTCTGCAGCAAGCAGACCCGAGCAGACCCCAGGGAGCAGCTCCCCATGCCATCACCAAAACCTACAATGCACAGAGGGGCAGCTGCTGTGGTACCACCATCCCCATCACCTGCTAAGAACCGGAGCTGGTTCCTCACTCGCAGCTCTCCATCCCCAGAGCCTCGGCCACAGTCATCTTCGTCGTCGCAGTCTCCGCTCTCCTCCTCCTCCTCCGGGGTTCTGCCTGGAGCTTTTTGGCGGGGCAAAGCCATCCCTCTGAGCAGCTGAAAGACATGAGGTGCCACAGTCATTCAGCTGCTTCCCTCCACCCTTCCTACTGCTCCACCCTATGCTCGTGGCAGGACGGGGTGACAAGAGGGGGACAGGGTTCAGCGGAGCCAGGACAGCGGGACAAGACCCCAGTGCACTCCTTGTGCCAAAGCACTGATGAGCTCAGGTTCATTCATGGACAAAGGTGCACACAAAACCTCAATGAAAGAAACAAAAAGGAGGAGGAAAGTCCACAGTGAGTCATTTTATGCCATTCAGCTTCTGCCCCATGAGCACTGCATGAGCTACAGTGCATCAACCAGCCCTGAGAGACCCCAGTGTCACCAGAGCTCTGGGATCACTACAAAACACGTGTCCAAAATTAGGCCAGAAAGGGCAAAAAACAGTAGCAAGAGGAGCCTCTGTTCCGGGGTTTCCACTGTTTTCAGGGAATATCTCCCATATGAAAAGTAACACACATGGAAGGAAATGGCAGATCTTTCGGGTCCTTATGGCACCCCACAAACATAACCTAAAAAAATCTCGTTCCTCACTCTTGAAGCACAGAGAGTGCTAATCAGAGTTTTGGGGATAGCCAAGCAACACAATTGAAAGCATCTTTTAAATGATGTTTTAAAGTTGAGTCCTAAGTAAGGGTGAGAGGTTGCACATCCTTGAGACGGGGACTTGGATGCCTCCCCTGAGCACGGGGTCAGGACTACTTTCCAAACATGGGTGGGAGCTCCCCACACTCCCATCACAGCACATGGGGATTAGACACATTTTATGCTATCGGTTTCCTCTTCCCGCTGACTTTTCTGATTTTGCTGTTGCTGAAAGCAGCCAGTTATTTCATCATAAACCCAGATCCCCTTTGAAAAAGTGTGAGTCAGCCAGTTAATATATGCTGAAAATTTCTATCACTGCCACTCTGCTGTTAAAAGCCTTCTTGAATTTAATCTCAGCGCTAAAAAAAAATAATAATGAAAAGGATAAGTAACAGAGAAGATATTGCAAAACGGGAGCTTTCCGCATACTTCAGGGGTTCAGTTAGTTCCATCTCTTGCAGCAATATGCATGCCTTGCAAGGCATTTTTTAATATCTGGAATCTAGGTTATATTTTTAAACTATTAAGCTAGCCTTAGAAAACAGTTTCTAAAATATTTATCTGCTGGAGTTCATACAGCCTTGGAGGAATGCTTTTGGCATCTGGCTCGCCCTGTCCACGGCACTGTCCACATACCTTAGTGTTTATATTATAGGAGCATAACTTAATGAAAAACAAATGGCTCCATGTGAGACCCCCTTTGGGTTCCCCAGCTGCATCAAGCAATGCAGCAAAACCTCTCCTTGGCATGTGCCAAAGTCTGCCCAGTGTGAGAACCATGCTGGGTCAGTCCCACATCCATCGCAGGCAGCAAAACACAGCTTATTGCCCAGAGATCACAGGGATGTGTTTCCATGTCCTTCAACAGCCTTTGACTCAGGCTGTTTAAGTTCACTTTTCAGGAATTCTGTTTTGTTTAGACATTAACAGGCCTCTCCAGAATCTGGTGTCATCATGAAAAAATAACAAACAAACAAAAGGGCAAGTGCAGTGCTGGGGGGAACAGGAGAAAGGCCTGACACAGGAAGCAAACGTGCCCAGCGCTCAAGCCTTTACACCGTCACCTGGACTTCTCCAAATGAAGCCCCATGTAGCAGCAGTCCTCAGCACAGAATACCTCAGCTCAAGGTGGAATGAGGTTCTTCCACACACAGCAGCTAATTACCACACACCCCAATTCAAATCCATTGCTAAAAAACCAAGCCCATCACTAAACCCCAAGCCCATCCTGGTGGAAGGGACCACAGCCACTCAGCAGCAGGATGCTCACTCCTCTGCAGGATGCTTGTTCCTTCACACCCAAGGCACAGAGCAAGCCAGACAGGACCCCAGCGCGCAGCCCAGCAGCACAACTTTCATGACTTACCCAAAAAAGCACAGGAACTTTCTGGCGGAGAGAGTTAAGCTTTGGGATATTTTCAGATTTAATAAGCTCAGCAGGGGGCAAGGGAAAATCAGGATTTTTCAATTGTGTCTTTTCAAACATTAAAATAACTGCACATTTTTTTGTGCAACTACTTTTTTTCCTTGGCATGCCATAAATTAGCAGCTTAATTTCTCTGCCTTCATAGGCTCAATACAAGAGGAACTTTCTGAGAAACGTGCATGCCCCGACTTTGGATCGAGTGAACGTGACATCCCTGTGCCACACTGCTCTTTCCTTTTCCAGGAGAAAAGCTCCATCCTCAGCCATCTACTCCCCAGCTGTTGACAACCACAGAGAGATTCAATTAGTCAAATTTCACAGCTGGCTCTGAGAGAAACAAAGCCTATGACACAAAACTACTGTAACAGTTAGCAGGAGACCAGGCATGGGGTGATAATCCCACCTCGTTCCATTGGCGCATCCAGACCCAGGAATGCTGTTGAATGTCTCAGCTTCATCCGGAGCAGCAGCCATAGTCCCACTCATCAACCATTCCACAACCTCCCTGATGGTCTGCACGTTTTATGAAATTATATTTGGTGGGCTGAACATAGATTCCCCATCCCTAAATAGCAAGCAGAGCTGACTGTACCCTAACATTACAGTTTATTCATGTCCTGTGGTTTAAAGTCCATGGTAAAAGGCAGGAAAATACACAGTCTGGGGATCACTAAAGTAGTATGTAACAGGGAGATAGTTTTAACTTAATCACAATTCACCCAGCTGTAAGAGTTTACTGTCACATCTACTCTTCTTTGCTAAACCATAATGGCAAAAATACAGGGTAATGTACCCAGTGTAAACTCGAGCTCTCATTGTGGGAGTCTGGGCACACGCACCTCCGAGGGGTCTGCAGGGCACTCATCTTCCATCTGCACAACCACCACAGCAAGAAACTTCCTTTGCTCCTGACTAGAAGTTCTAATGGATAAGATGTCCCTCAGTTTTATTTCCAGTCTCATCCCTTTGAAACCGTGACCCTCTGGATGGGTAGGGCGGGCAGTGCCAGGGCCTTGGCACGAGGGACTCCAAGGGACACTGGGCAGTCACATCTGGTCTCCATACTCATCTTTGTTGCTTGTCTTGTGGTCTCCCCACAGCTCAAAAAACAAGGCAGACGGGAACGGTGCACTGAGCCTTCCTGCAAGGAAAGCTCCCCAGGGCATCCCAGCATGATTTACACAATTACTCATAACTGTACAGTGACCAGACAAAAACAGATGCAGCAATGCAGGGTAATGACTCAGCTGGACTTGGACGGGCCACCGTATGTTGAAATCTTTTTAACTCCTCATTCTTTACAACTGCTTTACTCAAGAGCTCACCCATCCCACCAGCCCACTGAGACACCTGGTCTTGTTTTTCCAATTTTAACACAAACAGTGGGAGCTGCAACATACTTTTTATCATTAATCTCCCATCTCGGAGAAGAACTCAGCATCATGTTTCTTGGACTGCAGTTTAATAGCTGTTTTCTCTGTTCGGAAACTAAGTCTCGGGTATTGCAAATATCAATTTGAGCAATACCCAAAATTGTGCCCACAAATTCAGATTAAATACTGTCAGCAAGCTACAAGCACTGTGCTCCTTTAGGGCAAAAATCATCCCTTTCAACACACTTCAAAAATATGTAAAGTAAAGAGAACAGCCAAAAAGATTATTATGGGGAAATAGAAGACTTTTAGAAAAGCATTTAATTCCTTCATGAGTTTAGGGGAGAAGCCTGATTGATATTTGTAATCTTTTGGTGGACAGAGCTGTCATTTAATTTAGCTTGCATGACTGAAAGAATTTAACAAAAACTGTTCCATAGAGTTTTGCTGAAATTCTTCGCATGTTTTTCGTAAGCCTCTGGAATATGATCAAACCTAAAAAGCTGGAGAGGATGGCGACTGAACTTGCAGCTAAAATAATATTCAGATTGTAATATATGCTTAATAATCAAGTATTCACATACAGCAGAAAAAGTGCCTCAGTGCAGAAATTACTCTGGATCCCCAGCCGTGTTATCCATGTGCTGCTTGGTACCACGAAAGGAACCCTGGGAACTGAACCCAGCAGTGAAAACCAGCTGCTGGCTCTGCTAGAAACCTTCCAAAACTCAACCAAACCCACTAACTCATGACTGCCTGCAAGATCTAGGATGCCTTCCTACAGAAGCCTCATAAGGGAGAGTTTTAGAGGAGCAAAGGTGTTATTTCCCCTTTCATCACTCCAGCCACCCACTCTGGCCCCACAATTCAGCCACACTCTTACAAGTACGGGACACAGATCCCATGGTACTTCCCACATAACTCCCAAGATTCCCAACAGGACAGGTTTTTCTATTTTAAATTCCAGCCTGCTGAAAACATGGGGTTTTGGGGGAGAAAAGCTAGATCTTACGGCCAATCCTGACCTTGAAATCTGAAATACCAAATAATTTATGTGTGGCTTTTAAATCAGGGCAGCATCATGGGAAACGTGCAGATTTTCACATGATACTGTTCCCTGTTAACAGCTCATTACAATCTACAGAAGTATATTCCCATTATGAAATACAGCTGGGGTTGTTTTGCTTACGAAGGTCATTATCTGATCACAGGCAAGAATCGGGGAAAGGAACCCATTTTATAAGGCTGAAGTTGTGGACTTTTTGAAAACTCATGTGTTTTGAATTTGGTGGCCTGATCATACACAAGCATGCACCAGCAGAATCGATTCTCTCCACTTCCTCTGCTTATTAGCCCTGGAAATAGCATGGAAAAAATTATCTTTTATTAGCAAATACTTTCTTTATTATTGAACCAACCCTCATGAGATTTGTTGGTGCCCTCCACGCCACATTCCTATTTTGCAGCTCTGTTTGGTTTATCCATTCTATGGGTGGGGGCCTTGATGGCACAGAAGCATCCACCAACACAAACCCAATGCAGCATCAACAGCATCAACTTTTTGATTGCTTCTTTCCAAGCTCCAGAGAGCTCTCCCCCTCTTGGGT